CAACAACTTAGTTGATGTCCTTTCTAGCAACTTACCCTTGATAAACTCAATGCATCTTGATGAAACATCGTCCGCGGTCATCTTGCCCACAGTTTTGAACATGACGTTTAGCAGAAAACGTAAGAGGTTAAATTTCTTCAAGAGGACTTGCGCATACTGAGTAAAACTTACCCTGATAACGTGCGCAGAGATTTAAAAAAAAAAAAAAAAGTTAAGTTGAAAGCGATAACTTAAAACTTATACGTTAAAAACAGGAAATCGATTTTGGGGCCTGATTTAGCTCTTCGACACAAGAAAGTTACCGAAGAGGAGGGAAGGAGAGTTTCGTGTGCAAGTGCGCACTCTGCTAAAAATGATCTCGTTCTCGCTCCGCCCCTCCGCTGGTCCGCGGGAGGCCATTGGCTGCGAGAGACGCAGGCCGCCGCATGATTGGAGGAAGAGCCCGTCAGTCAGACTGTTCCCCGCCCACTTCAGTTTAAAGTTCTCTAAGTGAGACACATGATAGGCCCCGGGAACGTTGCCCAAGCGGTTGCTAGGACGATCCTCCGACCAATCAGATTCGTGATTTCCACTTTGACGAACCGCCCTCTTTTACATTTGAGCTGCGCAAGGATGAACAAGAACCAGGAAAAACGCCATAAAATATATAAAAATTAACATTGGACGAGACTGACACTGGTCTGAGTGGGATACTTAAGACATTAACACACAACTCACCTCTCTTGACACATTTATAACTCACACACAGTAAATACAACATGGTGGTTCTGGTGTAAATTTATTGGCGTAAAACATACCAGAGCAAAACTGAATTGCTAATATTGTGCAATTAGTTCCACAGACTGCGCAGGTAAGTCGACGCAAACCCACTGCATTAACAATAAAGGGACAGACGGTGTCGCCATATTAGGTCAAAAGCTGAAAAAAAAAAAAAAAATCAAAGACTTAAACACACCCTGGTCATTTAAAAGACAGTGCCGTGCATGCGCAGTCATGTGTGTGCGTATTGCACATATTTGCCAACTAGGCTTAAAGTTGACCAGGTTCATTCCGCAGACCCTTACTTAGCCTACCTGTTATCTCAATGTAAACATCAGAGTTTGGCGCCGCCTCTGAGCTGTTGTGAGCTGCACAGCGCTTTTTCCTCGACTCGGCTCGTCTCCTCTCGCTCTTGCGCTTCATTTTCTCTTCAGGGCTGCACGGTGGGCATTCCCGGGCAGCCGCAACAGACCTCCGCTTCACAGTGCGGGGCGGCTTGTCCCCCGCCCCCCCCCGTTTGTCCTCTCGCTGCGTTATTATGGCATGTCTTGCTCCTTGCGCTGCTGTGTGTTGTATATGTGTCAGTCGAGGTGCGGGGTTTGCCTGCTCCAGCCTCTCTCTGGTGGTGGTGGTGGTGGTGGTGACGTCTGTGAGCAGGGGCAGGTTTTTCTCCTTTCTGAATCCCCTGCATGTGACGTATCAGGATTAGATGTCCAGTGCCCACCCTTCACTGTTCAATCGCTGCAGCTGTGAGGCCAATACAGACAGCATGTTTGGCATGTAGGAGTCCAATGTGTGCTGAAGGGATCCCATCTGGATATGACTGTGTTGTGACCATGAGTGTGTGTGTGAGAAGCATGACACAAAAGAAAATGCAGCCAAGAAATAGCAATTCAGCTTTATTTATACTATAATAAACAGCGTGGGTAGGTGGATACAAAATAAGACTTTAAGCTCAGTGCACCAGTTAAGTGTTCAACCACACAACCATGTTACTAGTGTGGGAGCAGATTTACACAACATAAGACAGTAGCCTAATATATATGATTACTCTGATAGAAAAGGTAGAAAATTAAACAAAAACAGCACATTCACACCCCTCGTACACACACATCACTCATTTTTTTAGACCAAAATGTTAACTCAAAGGACTTACAAGCCTTCTCTTTCTAATTATTATTTTTTTTTTTACACCTCATGGTCTTCATTTCAACTTCATTAGCCCGATTAGATATGCTTGGAAGCTCTGGAAAAAGCTAGTAAGGAGCCCTTGAGTTAAGATTCTTTTTATTTTTTAAGGTCAAAATACCATTTTCACAGTCAGTTAACTCTCACACTCAACATAGACTGCGTGTTTCAGATCTATCCAAGGTTTTTGGCAAGACAGTCAAGTCTCTACCCAGTACAGAAATTATAAACAATAGATCCAGAAATACTTGGGACACAAATATGAACAGATGTATAAACAAGTGTTCAAACAAATCTACGAACTTGTGTGCATATGTGATAATAACAGCAATGTGGGGGCGAAGCACACAGTCAGGCGACCAGCTGGCTACACATGGATGATCTTTGGTTTATCGCTGAAGTCCAGAGTCTGTTGAACTCCAGCGAGCTGCAGGAGCCAGTTAATGGGCATGTGGTCCAGGCGGTTCGAGTCAAAATGGGAAAAATGAACCCGAGAGCCTGCGTGAGGGAGAAAAGAAAGAGAAAGATGGATGCAGAGAGAGAAATTATGATAGAGCATGTTTAAAGAGAGAGAGAGAGAGAGAGAGAGAGAGAGAGAAGCTTACCTGGCCCTGCAATGATGGCTCCACCCTGCTGATGTAGGTCACCCTGGAAGTCAAATGCAGGGCTGGTCATGGCCCTCCATATACTCTTCATTTGTCCCATAAACATACCAGACTTCACGTGGGGACTAGGGTGAGCTATGTACATAATCATACACACAAATACAGTTCTTCATTAATTACCATATCAGAATATGCTGGGTTCATACCCTCATATTATTACTGCACTACCTGAGTCTGTAAATTTCTCCTCCCTCTTCATCCCAAGCTTTTGATAAATGCATCTCTCCGGGTCCACGTATATTTCGTAGGGATACGCCGTCAGTGAGCAGAACGGCTGTACAGATTGAAAACTAAATCAGCATGACAGAAAAGACTGAAATTATGCATAAGAATAAAAAAACAAAACAAATACCTCTATGTGATGATGAGCAGACTGACCAATCACAACCAGTCTAATGTCAGCATCCTGCAGCAACACACAGCAAAGTTTGGATTTTACAAAAAAAAGCAAAAGCAGTCATTTAGATTCCCACTTACCCAAACCCATAAGCTGTTATTTATGATTTGCATGTCAATTTACAGTGGTGGAAGAAGTATTCATACACTTTATCTAAGTAATACCGCACTGCATTTAAATACAGTATTTAAGTAAACTTAGTTACATCCAACCACTGCAAATATGCAACTATGCTTCTTCTTTAACCTCCAGTGCATTCATAGTCGTGGATCAGGACTTACCTCCAGGGCTTCTTTAGGTATTTTGCTCAAATCTTCCACATACTCTTTACAGCTGTAGCACAGGAAGTTCTGCAGGTATACACACAGACACAGACAGTATCGTTAATAGGCTAGTAATATGAGATATTGCATTACTTTATTTTAAAACTCTCATTTGCTCCTATATAACGTTTAACCCTCTGTCTTCACCTATGGACATGATCTCTCTCCATTCTTCCATTTGGAGCAGCTGTTGGGGGCATCTGTCCATCAAGGCTGAAGCTCACCTGTTGCCTACTTTGATGCCAGAAAACATCTTTCGAGGCTCAATCTACTTAACCTGAGCCTCTGGGGATTTTTTACGAACTTCAGGCAGGATGGCATGTGATTCATCAGCAAGGTTAAGCCAAACAAAGTGTTCCCCTACCCGCACGAAAATTATGACCGATTTCCTGTCTTGATATAATTTCTTGAACGGAAAAGAGACTCCATGCCGGTCGTATATTAAACAATCCTCGACGTCTTCAAGGCGAATATCGACAGAAGTTCCTCCGACGTCCCGATTTTCTTTGCTGACTTGTCGAGTTATTGGTGAAACTACTTCAGCCATTTTTTCGGAAGCTCCCTGAAGTCGCACAGCTATTTTGGGAGTTTGAGTTCAGGGTGGAGGAACTGGTGGCTGGAAATTCACGCCCATATTGCAGCTGTGTGTGTGTGTGTGTGTGTATGAGAGAGAGAGAGAGAGAGAGAGAGAGAGAGAGAGAGAGATAAAAATGTGTAAAAATTCAATAATAGTGATACAAATATAATTGGCATATTTTGTGATGGCTGAGGAAACAGACAGTGTGGGTTGCATGGGTATGCCATTGGGTTGAGTGCTGAACCATTGAAGGGATACTCAAGTGATGGTGTAATTTGCATAAAGTTGGGGAGCTGACAGAAGAAGAAACAGATCGAAAAAAGACTGTCTGACATGGTCTTTTCCAAGTTACTCAGAAACTCTCAGTCCAGCTGGAACAAAAATCATCTTTTGTATTTTATCAAAGGATTGGTTTCAAATTTTCTTAGGTTTGGTCTTTTGAACATAAATGAATTAATAAAACTACCAATTTTGGTAATCCTTCATACAAAATGGACATGTAACTTCTCTGTGTGGCTGAACAAAGGAGATTCAGATCAGGAAATGTGTAGCCCAAAAGAAAATCTTCTTTAGCCGTATTGTGCTGCAGATTTACTCATTTTACATCCAAGTAGGAGAGGACTAACATGCTTTACCCACTAGAGCGCCTCAGATCAGTTTTGAGCAGTGGGTCACCATTGAACCCCCACTTTCTTTCACTCTCACTACCGCATGATGCGTCCTGTAGCCTTTAACGACACATCAGGTACTGAACACATGCACTACACAATGCAGCTTCATTAGGCTATTTTTGCTCAAAGCCCCAAGAACCAATCAGTAGGCTGACTAAATCTGCTGCTGGAATACCACTCTGTGTCAAAGTCGATGCTTTTCTTCGTGGTAGTTTGATTAATGAAGTGAAGAGGATGAATTACGCATTACTAATTAATTAATTAATTAACCAATTGTTTCTGAGACTGGAAAGTAATCATCGATGCAAAAAAGGGGGAAAGATTCCAAACTTATTTTTAGGATTCACTTCAGCCTCAAGGCCCCACAAGCAGGCGGGCTCATCCAGCTCCGCATGTCGAATTACGAATCGCCCTCGTCGGCTTCCTTCCCGCTGCCCTCTCGGTGCGGAAGTGTTGTCCTCAAGCAGCAGCAGAGCCAGAGCTGCCACTGTTTGGATAAACACTACGCTAGTTCACTAGCTGGTTCCCCTGCGTCCGTGTCTCTCCTGTCGGGACTTGTCAGCGCTCATCTTGACCGTGCAGCATAGCAGTATTATGCGAGCACCGTCCGGTGTGTGGAAGCACCGTGTGAAGTGGTGAGAGATGTTTCATGTTGGGTCCACACAGCTAACTTAGCATCCAGTGATGGAGCAAGCTAGCCTGTCAGAAAGCTTGAATTGGGTTAGCAGTGGAACCGTGGGTTTATTCTCTAAGCGAGGGTGTAAATATGTTGTTAAGTGTGGGGCAAATTATCTGACATAAAGCTGTCGGGACACAGCCGTCACGTTGAGACTGCTTTGTGTGTGTGAATGTGTGTGTGTGTGTGTGTGTGTGTGTGTGTTGTGTGTGTGTGTGTGTGTGTGTGTGTGTGTGTGTGTGTGTGTATGCTAAACAAATGACCACCTGTTCACTGTTTACATCTTTCTTTATTCAGCAGCAACCAGACGCTGCATCGCTTGCTTGACTGCAATAACTGAAAGCTGCTATTTAAGTATTGTAACGTTGGCAATTGGGGGTTTTAACATGTGACAAGTAATGCACTCATAACACAGATAATACAAGTCAAATGGTGTCGACAGAGGTGTAAGTACAGCTATAAATCTCTGCTAGACTGCAGGTTTAGGCTTTATACTCATAATGTGATTGCTTTTTATGGGCAGGAACAGTATTTCATTGTGATACCAAGGCTGGGATGTCGCTGTGCACTCTGGTAATGTGTACTACATGGGGAGTAATAGTGTAATCATCGTGCTATTTTTAGCCTAATGTATATTATGTTCCCAGCTGTTTCAGGTTTTAAAGAGCTGTCTTGATTGTCCTTGACACTTTAAGGATAGGCACACATTTTTTCTCAGGCCTATCTTAATGTTATACTCGTGTGTCATTATGTGCATTAAGAGTTATTGGTCGCTGTGCTTGTTCCACCTGTCCATGAGGGACAGTTCTGTGCAATAATATATTCAGAAGTTTTAGCTGAAGACAATATGAGGGTTTAGCTGTATTATTATATATTTATATTCCAGAGGATATTGTTGGTAGAGGAACCTGACCGTTTCCCCTTCCTTGTTGGAGCACGTCTCTATTTACAAAGTGATAATAACTTATTAGCTGTGTTTGAGTATAAAAAAAAAAAGTACTAAAAGTTAATTGAATTCTTTTTCAGGTCTTGTTTGTGTCTTTTCATAGATAGTACTTTGTATTATATTATTATAGATTTACTTATAGTCATAACTTTGCCAATTTCATACTATTTTATTTCAGCAACATTCTTGTATGGTTGCTCGTGTTAAGACGATGTTAAACTCTGTTGTGTTTGAGACTCTTGGCTTTGTTAAATGAACAAGAATACAAATAAGGCACTGAAAAAGGGTTGTTTTGGTATCGGTAATTCACATATCCTATTGGTGGTAATACAATACCTTAGATTTGGCATGTATACCAAATCCTGGAATAACACATTTACTAATGAATTGACTCTTGTTGTTATAGAGTTTCCTTGAATCATCTATATGGGCCATCTTCTCTCGAAAAATGGTTACCGCCTGAAGAAGAGGACACGCAAGTTGCATCACAGGAAGAAGAAGAAGAGGAACTGTTTCCTGCAGCTGCCTTGCATGCTTTGCTTCATCGTCCACAGCAACAGCACCGGTCTTGACGACGACAGCGACCATTTGGAGGCCGGCGTCAACGGCAGTGGGTGCTGTCACAACAGCATCACCGGAATCAGTGTTCCTGGTGTCGGTGGAGTTGGCATTGGAGCAGCCGCTGCTTCAAAGCTCGCTGAGCGATACGCAACACTCGCATCTCCTGAGGACTGCTCCAAGTTCCTGTTGTCACCACGCGAGTTGGCTATCTGGGAGGGCCAGGGGCGAAGCCTATTATCAGCTGTTCCTGCAAAACTGATTCCACCACCGGCGCTCTTCCGAACTGCTGGGGTGTCTGTGACCGTGCCCATACCTGTACCTGTGCCTGGCAGCACCAGCGACTATACTGAGATGGTAGGGAGCTGGGGGGGGTGCTGCACCAGCAGAACCAAACATATGATTTAGACTGAACAGAAAATCTGTCCCTCCCCAGAATTATTTATTGATTATTTATGTATTTATTTAATACAAATATTGAATACGTTATTTGATACCATGTCTCCTCCAATTGGTCAGCTCCCATAAGCCACTGCCCACCATATACATTCACTAGGTTTCAGTGGGCAGGACTGGACCTTCACCTAGCCTATAGGTGGTGCTTGTTATGTGATGTAATAGCGTAACGGTAGATTGGGCTGAATTCAAACGAGGCGTGTTTGGCAGTGCAGCCCTGGCTGTGTTTTTTGGCCTCTTTAACCAATACCACAGAATGCCCAGTTAAATGCGGCATTGGTTTACAGGTACAAAAATATAAGGAAGACCTGTAACTGTCCATTAATGTTCTCTGATCTCTTCATGCAACGAAGTCCAAGTGTTTTAAACATTACATATAATAGTTGGCTGGTTCCTCATACTTATCCTTACATAATAGTTACAAACTTCACACTCAAAGCAAGAGCTTTTTTTACTTGTTTTATTTTGGTCTCACTGAGCATCCAAGGTCAGGGTGCTTTTGATTTAATGCTTCATAATGTCGGTGTTGTAATATTCATTAGTGCAATTGTATTCAAATGCTTTTGACTTGCCTGAAGAAAATGTTTTTTCAGTGAGCTGATCCGTGTGTGTCTCTGGGTTCAGGTGTGTAAGAGGAAGTGCTCAGAGGTGCAGAGGTGCACCCCCTGTAAGCAGCCACGCTGCGCCTTCGCTGCCCCTGACGGAGGGCTGGAGAACGGAGGAGTGGGAGGAGGTGGGGGAGAGGCCGCCTCGAACTCTGAAACCGGCCACTGCCACCTTCCCCTCTGTCCACTTCCCTCCTCCTCCGCTTCTTCTTCCTCTGCCTCCTCCTCTTCCTCCTCACCTGCAGATGGCTGCTGTGGGTTGGGTCTTCATGCGGATTTGCCTCACAGTTCAGACTCGTCCCCCTGCTGCCTGAATCATTATGACGACTGCCAGGCGAGAAGTTCTGACGCTGCTGATCACTTAAGTATCAACCACCTGCCTTCCTCCATCCTTCTTAAGGTCAGTTCATCACATTGGCTTGTTTAACTGTACAATGAAAGGTGCTAAAATACTAAGGCAGAGTTTTCCACTGGTTGGAAACATGCTGTGTACTAAGAGTGCCTTTATGCATTATATTTTCTTTTGCCTTCTTTCAGGTGCTCTCCCACCTGACAGTGAAGGAGCGCTGTCTGTGTGCCTCTCTGGTGTGTAAGTACTGGAGGGACCTCTGCTTGGACTTCCAGTTCTGGAAGCAAATTGACCTCAGTGGCCTACAACAAGTAAGCAAATAGGGTAGTGAATGTTTTGTCTGAGACTCTTTTTGTCTTCAGGAATTATTCTTTAATTTCAGTGTCTTTGCAGTTTTTCACATTTTACATTTTAGACATTTAGTTAATACTAGAAGGATAACTGCTTCTAGGATCAAATCTGACTTGTCGTATGTACATGTACGACTTTGTGTTACCCTGTTCCCCAGGTAAACGATGATCTCCTGGTGAAAATAGCCTCTCGGAGGCAGAATGTGACAGAGATCAACATCTCGGATTGCAGAGGGGTCCATGACCATGGTGTGTCCTCCCTGGCCTCACACTGTCCGGGCCTGCAGAAGTACACAGCATACCGCTGCAAGCAGCTTGGTGACATGTCCCTGTCAGCCTTGGCTACACACTGCCCTCTGCTGGTGAAAGTGCACGTGGGTAACCAGGATAAACTAACAGATGAAGCACTAAAAAAGGTATGCATTTAAAGCTAGAATGGAAACACAAGACATGTTTAATTTTTAATTTCTAGATCTTTGCTTGTCTGTGCATTTGTTATTTTTATTCCTAAATTAAAAGTGAAGTGATACTCCATGAAAATGATACAGGTGACAGATTTTCAGTTTTGAACCTTACATATACTCAATAATTTCTCCTTTTTGCCTTTAGCTGGGAGAGCACTGCAGTGAGCTGAAAGACATCCACTTGGGTCAGTGCTACAGTATCACAGATGAAGGCATGGTGGCCTTGGCTAGAGGATGCCGTAAACTGCAGAGACTCTACTTGCAAGAGAACAAACTGGTTAGTCCCAAATTTCTGTTTCATATTTGTGATTTTTCTCTCTGTTTGCCTTGGTGTTTCTCCTTGCACAGGAGCCCAAGTGTCTGTGTGTGTCTCTGTTTGACAATCTAAAAATCTCGGAAGTGTTCATTCATCTCGTATGGGCTCTCTTTTCTTGTAGCTGCTGCTAATATTCAGGGGTTATACAAGTATTGTGACATCACTGTGGCCCTGTTTCTTGCATTTCATACTGTTGATTACTGCAGTGTAGGAGTCTATGTAGGAGTGTACCCAAATTCCCCTTCTTCCAATAAGTGCACCACCAGCTTGAAGGTTTGCCAGGCAACATCTGCATTACAATACAGATTTATTAATTTATTCTCTTTGTGTTTAGCATCTCTGGATCAGCTGTCTTAGAGAACTGGTCATTCTGCTCTTCTGCTTCATTATTCTTCTTCTTACTCACTCTTGCTTTGGGAAACAAATGTATGCGACTGCCATAAGATTCTGCATCATAGTGTGTTTTTTTGACACACTGTCAACTCAAGAAAAGTGCGTAATATAAATGTAATACTTTAAAGATACAATCCTTTGATCCAAATATAAAGGTTGGCTTTTAATTATTATCAATGGACAAAAACAACAGCTTATTTTTATGAGTATTACATATTTGTCAATTATATGAATTTAGCTCAAATCTTTAATCCGCATATTTCCTGTAAGATGATCTGATCAGATCATGGAGATCCTTATTGTTGTAAATTTGCTGTTTAATTAGGGGAAAAAATTGCCTTGAAACTACTGTAACTCATTAATTGTTGAGTTTTTTATGTGAATGCAAATATGTGGATGTGTACACATGTTTGCTGACTAATGCCTTTATCTGTTTAATGACTGACCTCATTATCACAGCTGGCTTTGTTTTATACATAATGAGCGTGGCATGACCTTTGTACCTCCCATCATATTTATTTGAATAAAAACACCATGTAGAGAGTGAAGTGACACACTACCTATAACCACCACTAGATGTCAATGTTTTACAATGTCTGAAAACAGCCTGCCAGCTGCTTTCTTTTTGTAGGCCACAGCTTGTTGATACTAATGCTGAGTTGTGCATTTTGTCCCCTAAATCCCAACCACACATCCTCTTTTACCGTATTTGTCATTTAGTATTGGATTCTGATGGAGAAAGGGAACACAAATAGTCATTTGGCATGTCTGTCTCTCACCTCTTTTATTTGGATGTTCCCTTCCTCGCTAATGCTCTTGCACTATTTCCTGCTAATATTTCTTCGCAGTCCATGAGTAATCATGACCTTGATGAATTAGTCCGCTTTAAGTTGTTAACAATTGCTCAGTTTGTTAAAACCCCATTCATCAACTTAATAGTATATGAAATTAGCGATTACCACTAGGTGAGAGATTAATATTGCTGCTGATAACATTTCAGCACGGCAGTATCAATTTCAGACAGTCATTTTTCAGACGTAAGACCATTGCAGTTATTTTAGCTTCCTGTCATTAGGGCGGAGAGAAATGGGCTGAGCTTATATGGGAATTGTTATGTCTAGGCGCTCTGGTTGCTTGGCCTAAAATTGTCATTAAGTTTGCCAAGGATTAAGACGACCCAGAAACACTTACATTTTTCCACAGAGGCCATTTATTGTCTTTGACAGCTTGAAAGACTACCTAAGGTTTCTCCTCCAGCTTCTCAGGAAAAAGAAAGAGATTTTGTTGCTTTGTGGGAAAAATGGTTCCTAAAATCCAAAATATGGATTAACAATAAAACCAATGTTTTTTGATATTTTTCCTTTCTACTCGTATAGAAGGGGATCTAAAATTATACGTGCTGCTTTAATATAATAATAATAAATATGGTATTACATATGAAGAATTGAACAGGTGACTCAACCGGTCATACTTTGAAGATTTTATTTCACCCTGGGTCAGCTGTTTATAGACCAACGAAAAGGTTTCGAAGCAGTGTGAAAAAAGGCTTTTTTGAAATGTGTGTGCAAAAAATGAATGGCTGAACACTTCTGGGACTATTGTGTGGGCTGAACCTTTGTTCTCTACATGAATTGATCCAAGAAATGTTTTTTAGTGTGGTATAAACCGCACAATCGTGGGACAGTTCAGTGGAAGCCTGTCCTCTCCTCTCCTCTTGTTTTCTCTCTTCCTCTCTACTTGTTTCCTCTCCTCTCTGCTCTGTGGTACATGGATCCTGTCTCTGTCGCTCCTAATCAATCACAGATGAGGATGAGCCTTTCACTAACTCTGATCTGCCCTCTCTTTCTCCTCCTCCAAAATTGAATAATTGAATTGCTGCAAGATGTTTCTGTGTGGTCTTTCACTCGCCCTCTGCCTTTTTCTTTCTCATGTGCACACCCACATACATTTTTCCTTTCTTCCTCTCCTTCAGTCTTTTTGTAGTTGTGGTTTCAGTTCCATGCTTGAGGGTCTTTTCTCTGTGTTAAGACCATATCCAGATCTGTAGATGGTTAAATTCCTTTTTTTTTTGTATAACCTTAAGGAAATATTTGATCAATACTAGAACTAACAGTATTGGCTGTAATTCTGGTAATGTTGCTCTGTTTTTATGTTTCTCCTTTCAGTATATTGTATTAAACAGCAAATTTAAAAATCTTGGTTGTCAGCTAACTGCGGCAAGGCAGAGGAAGGTATTTTTAGTAGATCTTTTTAGTGTCTTGCTAGGATGCAAGATTTTCAATTGTGAAATTTCTCACTGTTCCTTTAATTGCAAAAGGCAGACTTAAAGGACTGTGCATACATTCTCGTCCTGATTATCATACTGAAGGGCACACCAGTTATTTTCCTAACAAATGACAGTTGAAAGTTGCTAATGCGAGGCTGAGGACGTCTCATGCGGTGACTAGAGTCTCCAAATTTTGTTTACAGTTGACAAACTGACGCTTGCTCTTTCATAGCTTGTTAGCCTGGAGCCAAGTCAGCCCAGGGCTACAGATAACCCTGGGCTAAGAGTGTGTTTTCTGAAAAGCAGGTGACTCTGGTGTCTCTATGCCCCAATCCTTTTGACATCTACCCTGCATTCTTTATTGGCGTTCATCCAGTATTTATGCCAGAGTTGGTTATATTGCACCAGTTGCCTTTCAAGGCTTGTTTTCATCTTCTGGAGTGTTTTCTTCTCTCCCCCCATTCATATTCTGTTCTCTTCCACCACCTCGAAGGGCAAAGGCTCTGAGAATAGCAAATTCCCCTTTTCCTCATCTCACTTCAATTTGCCGTAGGGGGGAAGAGGCAGCCCTGAAAGTCTAACTCTGAGTTCTGTCAGTTTCATAGACCAACTGGTGGACAAGGTATAAGCTGCAAAAACCTCTTGTCACCCATCTCTCCATGTCAGTAACTTTGCACCAATGTTCCTTTCAATTAAACGCACATCGCAATCTGCAAACATTTCTGCTGGGGAAGCACTTTCCTACTCTCTTTTCCTCACTCTTAAAAAAAAAAAAAAAAAAAAAAACTTTATCTGCTCTCCTGTCTTGTTAAAATCAAAGAGTGTGCACTTAATTTTCCTGCAATGTGATGGGAAGATTCTTCTACTGGTTCATCTCAAAGACATTGTGTCTGCCTACACACACACACACACACACACACACACACACACACACACACACACACACACAAAACACCCCTCTCTCTCTCTCTCTCTCTCTCTCTCTCTCTCTCTCTCGCACACACACACACACACACACACACACGCACGCACACAGGCTCTGATTATTTACAGTTTTAATTAGTGCAAAATGTGGAAATGTAAGTGGAATTGGAGATGACCTAACATAGATTACCATGTGCCCTCAATTTAGGTGTAATTACCACTCTGCATGTACAATCAGAGCTTCCCTCCCGTGCTTCCACCGCGTTTTCCAGCTCGCTCACTTAGGCGCTTGGGATGGAAGGGATGCGTTTGTCTGGAAAAGACGAACTGTCAGAGGGAATGGTGCTTCGGTCAGTGAAGTAGTGCCTCATCTCCCGCTCTGATTGGCTGTCTGTCCAGCTTGTCAGCAGTCTGGTTTTTGCTGGCAGGAGAAATGACAATGAGGCTCCACCGGCCCAATCAAACATAATCACAGATTAAATTGTATATTGACATTAGCAGATTTAATTAGTCGGATTAGAGGGAGAGCAAAGACAAAGGAAGTGATAATGATAGCTGTCAGAGTTAGAGTTAGACCTTTTGACATAAACTAAAACACACATGCCAAGTTAAAACAATGGAAGCAACACACACATGGGAGCAGATGAAATGAATAGCTGCCAGCTGCACTGGAATCTCTTCTGGAAACTTTGTTCCCGTATTTGACTGTAATTAGAGATAAATAGAACCACTCTGACCAGCAACACACACACACACACACACACACACACACACACACACACACACACACACACACACACACACAGTGCATTGTCCATCTCTTCTTCAAGATCTCCCCTTCAGTCTTAATAGACAAGAGTTTAGACTTTTCAGGATGTTAAATGTCAGATGTTGTATGATGTATTTAGTCTATTTAACTGCTAATAGCACTGGATTATGTCTGTCAGAGTGAGGAAAAGCTCTGCTCCAATACAGAATTTCCATACTTTCATGTCATCAAGAAGTCTCTTTAGTTTTTTGTCTTTGTCTTTTTGCCTTTTGCTCTCTTTTTCTGTCTTTGTTTCTGTGGATTTGGGAGGTAGCTGTATGTAGGTAAGGTCAAGATGGAATTTACTGTACCAACCTGTGGAGAGACGGGGATGTCTATTGTCCATCTTCATTGTGTCTATTTTTTATTTACAACACATTATTTGTCCATTATTTCCAATTTTGGAAATGAATGAATTGCTTATAAGTACCCTGTGTAGGTTTTTATCACTATAGCTCTACAGAGCAGTGTTTTTACAGTTGTGTCCTGTTTTGTTTGTATCATTCAAGCCTCAGTGCAACGTAAAAATTGGCTCTATAAATGTTTTATGAGGAAGCTAATGCACTCAAC